GAGGCATCACACTCGACCTCGAATAGTTTGTCAAAACTAGGAAGGGCTAACACGGGGGCATGTGTTAATCGCTCCTTAATTGTTTCAAAGGCCTGTTGGGCCTTGGAGTTCCACTCGAATTTCTGATTTTTCATCAAATCCGTGATAGGTGCCATGATGGTGCTAAAATCCCTCACGAATCTCCGGTAGAAAGAGGCAAGACCATGAAAACTTCGAACTTGTTGCATAGTGGTGGGGGTCGGCCATTCTCTAATGGCTTGCGTCTTCTTTTCGTCCACCCGTATGCCTTCACTTGAGATAAAGTATCCCAAGAATTCTGTTTCATACGAAAAGAATTGGCTCTTCTCGAGGTTGCCGTAGAGTTTCTCCTCGTCCAACTTCTTAATCACCAAAGTGAGGTGATTAGCATGATCTTCTTCATTTTTGCTATAAATCAGAATGTCGTCAAAGTAGACAACGACAAAATGACCTATAAACGGCTTCAAGACCTGATTCATAAGCCACATGAACGTGCTCGGGGCATTGGTTAATCCAAATGGCATAACCAACCATTCGTATAACCCAAACTTCGTCTTGAACGCTGTCTTCCACTCGTCTCCTTCAAAGATTCGAATTTGATGATATCCACTCCTAAGATCAACTTTTGAAAAGATCTTGGAGCCATGCAACTCATCCAACATGTCTTCCAAACGCGGAATTGGGTACCGATACTTGATAGTGATCTTGTTGAGAGACCGTCTATCGCAACACATATGCCACGTTCCATTCTTCTTTGGCACCAAAAGTGCCGGGACAGCGCACGGGCTATGGCTCTCTCTCACGAAGCCTTTAGCTAGCAGCTCATCAACTTGGCGTTGAATCTCCTTCGTTTCTTCGGGGTTCATCCTATAGGCCGGTTTGTTGGGTAGGGCAGCCCTGGGGATGAGATCAATCTTGTGTTGTATGTCCCGTTTGGGGGGTAAACCATGGGGAACATCTTCAGGAAATACTTGGGTATAGTCTCGCAAAATTGGCTCGACCAAGGGATGGGGTGGTTTGAGAGGTGTGAAGGGTTCGGCTTCCCCATCTTCCAACAGGATTAAATCTTTAACCCCATCAAATTCATGCTGCTCAGATTGTAAGATGGTGGATATAAGGACGGGGGGTTGTTCTGGTGTAGTTTTGGTCGTAGAAGAGGGGGGTGGTGGTAATGGGGTTAGGGTAATCTTCTTCTTATTCATCAAGAATGAATAAGTGTTGGCGTAACCGTCATGTTGCACACGATGATCAAATAACCAAGGTCGTCCCAAAAGTATGTGGCACACATCCATAGGGATGATATCACACCATATGTCATCCTTGTATGCTTTGCCAATGCTCAAAGAAATGAGGCTCTGCGTATCAACTCGTAAGCCCTTGCCATGATTCAGCCATTGAATCGTGTATGGCTTAGGATGCGGTGATGTTTTTAAGTGGAGCTTGTCCACCATAGTTCTGGAAGCCACGTTAGTGCAACTCCCGCTATCAATGATAAGAGAACACACCTTCCTTTGTACGGTGCAACGAGTGTGAAAAATGTTCTCCCGTTGCAATTGTTCTTCGGGACATGCTATGGTACTCAAAGTCCTTCGAATGACCAGGAGCTCTCCTTCATCGGGGCCAATGAATTCATCTTGCTCTTCGATTTCTTCCATGTTTTCTTCAGCCCAAGTTGGATCAAATTCTTCTTCATCACACTCAACGATTGCCATCACCTTTTTGTTGGGGCACTCGTTAGCATAATGACCACGTCCTTGACATCGAAAGCAAATGGGTGCTTTCCTCGTTGAGTCTTTTCTAGGAGGAAGAGAGGAGGAGGGGTTCTTAGGTAAGGGAGAGGGGAGGGATCTGTGGTCAATGGGTGAAGTTTTGGTGGAGTTGAAAGGTTCTTTGGATGGAGAATAGTTTGGCTTTTGGAAAGTGGTGTTGGGCCGTATGTAAGAGGGGTTACCTCTGGAGAGAAGGGCTTTGGATTTCTTTATTTGTGCTTCAACCTTAAGGGCTAATTTGGTAATCTCTTCTTGGGACTCATAGCTTTGTAGCTCTACCGTATTGGCTATTTGTAGGTTTAAGACGAATAGGTATCGTACAAAGGTTTGCTCATCATCTTCTTGCAAGTCACACCTTAGCAAGAGTTCCTCGAACTCACGGGTGTATTCTTCAACCGATTTAGAATCTTGCTTAAGCGTTTGAAGCTTGGCAAAATTCTCACGAACATATTCAGCGGGCAAGAACTTCTTCTTTAAGAGAGACTTCATTTTGGCCCATGTAGCCACTGGCTCCTTGTGGTTTCTTCTCCTTTTGGTGCACGTGTTAGTCCACCAAGTAGATGCATACTTGTGGAACTTCAAGGCCACTATCTTGACCTTCTTCTCGTCGGAGACTTCTTTGAAATCGAAAACACGCTCCACCGTGTCTAGCCATTCTAGAAACTCGTCTGGGTCGTTCTTTCCCTCAAAAGTTGGGACATCAACTTTGAAGTCAGACCCGTCATTAGTTTTGGCCTTGTTGGTGCTGCTGGTGCTTGCATCATCCTCATGATCACTACCTTGAAGGGCATTGAGCTTTATCTTGGTGAGCTTAGCTACCTCCTTGGCCAAGTACTCTACTTGGGCCTTTAAGGCGGCGTTGGATGCAACAAGCTCCTCATGGGACATGGGTTGAGATTCATTCGACATGGTTGATTTGGCGTCAATGGGTGGTAGGAAAGGAAATGGGTAAGGTTGAGGGAAGTGTTTTTTTGTCCTTGGGGATGTGGAACAATGGGGTTTGATACCAAATGTTATACCCGAACTCCGGGAATAAGCTTTAAGTTTGGGACAAAGCTTCTTAAACTGCAGGAGCAAGGAATAATCGATTATCAATTTATGATAATCGACTAACAAGAGGTTCAGTTTCTTGGGAAGGAAATTTGGGAGTTCAGGGAAGGGAAATAGTCGATTGTCACTTTAGCAACAATCGATTGTGGGATTGTGTAGTTTAAGCCAAGAAGGTTCAGAAGGGTGGGATAGTCGATTATCAATAGTTGATAATCGATTATTTGGGGTTTCGGACTCTACCAAGGAAGTTCAGGGGTGTTGGATAGTCGATTGTCAGTGAAAGATAATCGATTATCAGGGTTACCCGAGGTTTCAATATGGAAGGAAAGTGGCTGGGCTATGTAGGGAAGTTATGGGAAGGAATGATAGGGTGTT